AGGGAAAGCTTAGAGGAATCTTCCCTGGTCTATCCTCCCCTATTCCAGTTGTTTCACAAAGTACCATTTTCAATTTAAGTTTATCTTCTAAGAAAGTAATGAAAATGAAGGTGATGATGATGAGAGTAAATTCAGTGGTCTCATACAGCACCAGGATGACATTGCAGGAGTCACAAAATTTCAAAACTTTTTGCCAAGCCCATGGAACAAAGAAAACACACAGCTAAAACAAAGAAAAAAGGAGCTAAAAGCTGTACCTATTTTCACAGTAAATGATATTGAGGTCCATATTCACACGAGTGACAAACATGTGGCAGTCAATCCTGACTTCATTAATTGTAGGAGGTGGCAAAGCATGAGCAACGACAACAAGTCCCATGATTTGGCTGGGTACTGTCCGTCCGTGGGACAGTGACACTCTCAGACGTAACCGGCCTGTTATATGAATCACCTGGAAAATAAAAACAATAAAATAAACCCCAGTGAATTCTGGATGCAACTGTGACATCAGTTTCTTTTAAAGGACAGCATTACTATTCCCTCAGACCACTTAACACAGCCAAAAATTAAGTAACTGCCAATATTAGTGTTAAGCTTATTAATACTGGCTGTTGACATGTCCTATATGTACTCATAGCAAAAAAAGAAGACAAGAACATAACAGGCAAATGCTTCATATTCATCAAATAAAACCAGAACTCAGAACTCCTGTGCTATTGATTTTTGTTGTGGTTGTTACAGAAAGAGAGAAGGAAAAAACAAGCTAGAAATCCAACAAAAGAAAAGAGAGAGGGAGATAAAATGGAAATAATAAAGGTAGAAATAAATAAAATACTAATTTTATAACATTTGGAGATTGAATATAAGATGAAAAGATCAGCAGTTTTGAAACTTTTCCGCAACAGATTTGATTGAATTGCTAGTCACCCACACTGCAGAGACAATGCTCACAGCCTTGCACTACTTTGTGGCTGGCAATCTGAAAAGCAACAACCTACAAGTGATCAATGAGCTCAGCTCCGCGATGGTCTTCTTACCTCCACAGCAAGATTTTAAGAGCTGCTAGACTCTTAATGCCTTTGCCTGCTACACTATGTAAGCATGGAGATCTCTGGTGGTGGATGGTATCTTTCCCTGTTCACAATATAACACCAGAAGATGCCTGGGAGATACAACTGCAACCCTGGCGAGTGAAATTCTAAGGATGCTGCCTGAAATGGAATAAATCTAAAGTCTGGGAAAAGAATAATCTGCCGCTTCCAGTTTCACTCCTTCAGGAGTTCTGTGAATAAATAAAGGTTGGGGTTTTTTTTCCATAAAATAATATAAATACAGCTCTGATGCCAGATATCAAACAGAAATGGAGACTGCAGTTCTTGTACTCATGGATTAGAAGAGTAATAAAATTGGCAGTTGCAGACTCTCCCAGATTTTCACCCTCAGATTATGTTACAACGTCAGCATGAAAAGAAGGCTTCCAGGAGATGGGGGCCCATTCTCTGTGATCCCAGACTCATTATCCAGAGGTCAACAGAGATATTGGATTGGTACCAAGTGCACTGCAGGGGGTGGCAGAGATGGGATGTAGTTATACATCCACTGATACTCATCTCACAAAGACAGGGGCCAAACCCTTTGCTTCTGGTCTAAGATTGACTGTTAATAGAAAGTGAGAGAGAAGAAAATCTTTCATTAAGAAGACTGCATACCACAAAGTGCATGTAAATTCAGGTCTAATTCAAGCTAGCAGATCTGTGATCTAAGTCTTGAAGTTTGTTTCTTTTTTTTTTTTTTTTTTTTTCAACCTAATCATTAAAACATCTCCTTTCTCCATTATTTTACATTTCAACACCAGCCAGTGTAGTGAATCTGAATGAGGAAAAGTGATTAGCTGCTGTATTTGTCCATTTCAGTTGCAGGCTTCTGACCACCCACATTTGAAGTAATTATTGCCTAAAGTCACACTTAACACATCTTCCAAGGATAAGTTATTCTATAAATGTTTGAAAAAGTTCTTAAAGGCAAGGATGCATAAACACTATTCCAAAATTATTTATTTATTTATTTTTTTCCTCAAGACCTCATTAACTAATTAAGAAATAGCTAAAAGAAATAGGATTAACTCCACAGGAGGGGCAGTAATATTATACTTTGCTCCTTCTAGCTAGGCTTGCATCTGTTTTATATCATTATCTGTCTCTTTTTATCACGCAGTTTCAGATTACTGAAAAAAACTCAAATCTGTAAATGCTTGAAAAAATGTTGATGGATAACAAGTAATAATGTGCAAAATAATCTTATACAGAACATGCTATGCAAAAGTATTGTTGTTCTGTTGTTTTTTAATAAGAGTCCTTATGCTAATATGTTTGAAGTTGGCACTATCCCTTGAGGGAATTTTTAAGATAGATCATACTTAAACTTAATTTATCTCTTCTGTTTTTTTAAGCCTCCACATCATTTGTAGCTAAATAGCAACATGATTCGTTTTTGAACAACTCTCTGTTCAGTCAGTACTTCACTTTTTCCTGATTCCCCATTTGAAATACACCTCAGATGTAGCATTACCCCAAGAGACAGTTCCAAATCTGCTAGATCACACCACATACATTGTTGAATTTCAAGAGTCTGCTTCCAGATTTAAATTATTTAGCTTTCTATCTCTACTATGGATCAGAACATGTTCTAAATCCCCACGTGATTTCAAATTTTAGGGTTCAGCATTCAATTGCATTCTGTTTCTGTACACTGGGAAATGTACAGCTGCCCATCAGTTTCAGTGCCTGTGTGCCTCTAAAGAAACTGTATTTCCATGCCTGAAATCCCATTCTATGACAACATTAGTCAAATGTACCAAGTGGGAAATCTAATTGGTAGTAAAAAACAATTCAAGCTGTCATGACCTTGTCTACATTGTGAGTATTGCCACTTTTAATACTGGTTCATTTGAACTGGGATTAGGGGTGATAGGAATTATAGGGTCAATTATCTCCAGTAGCTAAAATTAATCTCTTTATAATTCAATCCCTCAGCACTACTCTATCATATCCTAAAGCAGTATTATGACTTTAATCGAGCTAAATTTCAAGAATAAACTGTTTTATGAAGGACAATACTTGAATGCAGATGCAAATATTAAATAAAAATTTGCTAGGAATATTCTAAAAATCAAAAGTAAATGCAGCTCTTCTGTGCAGTTTTCTCTGTAAATGCTTTCTTCTGAAAAGTATGCAAGAGTCCAAATCCATCTTTTAACTACAGTTGTCTTATTTCTAATAATGCTATATGAATATACTGGCACATTTTGATGCCACAGCAAGAGAAGACAGTGACACTGTAATCTGTCCACTATGAAAAGGTGGGTGAACACTATACCCCCAATCACAGGGATCATCAGAAACTCTGTATGTCAAAGCTGTACAGATTTGCCCAGCATTTCTCCATTGACCTCCTAAATGAAAAAGGTGCACTGAAATCTGTAGCAAGAGTCTTTTTTTATTCTAATGGGAGCTGGACCAGGTTAACAGTTCAGAGACTTTTTCACTTACAAACTGTTTATTGGCAGGTGTTGTAACTTGCATGATAATTTCATCATATCGAAGCAGAGTGAAATGCTATGGTCAAAATAAACCTTGTGACCTGATCTAGACCAGGATTCAACATAGGTCATTCCAACCTGTGTTATTACTTTTAGTGTAACCTAATTGTACAATAGTTACACTTGGGCACACAGGCAGGTGAACCACAAAATATTCTGTAACAATAAAACCTTGAACACTGTGAAATGAATATAACACATAAACTGTTGCAAAGATGACATGCTGAAGCAAAACAAATACTGTAAAAATCTTCTATACTGCTTAACTGCTTTGTTAAAAAAAATTTCTAAGTCAAATTTGCCTGACACTCCAATATTGGGAAAAAAAAAATCATTATTTGGCTTTTATTTTTAGCTGATTAGAAAAGGGATTTGCAAAATATTGTAAGTACATGTAAACACAGTTTATGAGTGTGGGAGTGTTAACAAGCCACATTGCTTGGACAAATATATATTTCTTTTCCTTGCCATATGCTCTCTTCAGTCATCTGTTAGCGATAAGCACTTAGATGTGCTCTACTAATGTCTGCTCATTATAAGCAAGCACATCATGAAGACCTTGATAAAACCTTCCCTCTGTCAATACTTAAGGAAAGCCCAGCATTTCAGAAACACATCTGGAACCTGCTCATCATCTTTTAGAGCTAAATCTCACCTCTGGAGATGGAAATACTTTGTCAAAAAACATCTTTAAATATTATATCCATTTTTTTTCACATACATGTGATGTCAGAGTAAGGACATGCATTACCAGAGGCTATAAAACCAGCAAGCATGAAAAATCTTTGAATTTCACCCTTCAGATGTCTCTGTGTTCTTCTAAACTACCATTAGAAAGAAACTCCTAAACCACTTCTTTTGCTCTCCGTGTAAATCACTATGCCAGTTCATTATGGATCTGAAATACTGGCAGAAGTGCTCCCTCCACCTCATTTCTCTTAATGCAATAATAAATTTGAAGCCTTAAAACTATTGCTTAGTCCCAAATTTTGAGAAGACTACTACATATGAAAACACCCTAATTTAGTTTGTGTGCCTAGATTTTTATTTAGCTGTCCTATGAACAACAGAGATATAAATGTATCCCCTCTTTACAGAAACAACTGTGATTCACAAGGATACATATATTTGGTTTGGTCTCTCAAATACGTTATTTTATACTCCCAAAATCAACACTTAAAGCTTTAAATCACAATTAATTTCAACAACTACAATTGGCTGAAAAGTTCCTACATTTTTCTTTCAAAGAGTTATGTGCTCCATCACTTACAGGACATGAATCTCAAAACCTGCTGGTGACAATTGTGACTCAGATGTTTTAAACACTCCATAAGGTAAAGGGTTCCCATATGGTTTCAGGTGATTTTTAAGTTAAGACTGAACATTTGGAAACAGGCTTCCCTCTGGACTTCTCAAAGAAAACAGAGTCCACTGTCACATCTGGAGTTCACATAAGGATATCCTGAAGGTTCATCTTTTCTGACATCAAAATATATCAGTGCCTATCAATCTAAACTTCAGTAAGTTCTCTCTTCTTTCCTCCCAGTACCTCACTGCAGGCACTACAGAATTTCTATTTACTTATGTTTTCTGGGGTTCCACAGCCCCATACCCCCACAGCCCCAAAGCCTACTGTCACAGGCTTCAGGAAAACTTTAGGAAGAGATATTACTTGTCTATACTTGTCATTCAGCAGCAGTTGGGATCAGAGAGAGGTACAGTAAGGCCTTGTGTCTGCAGTTCCAGTAATACTTGCAAATAGAATTCTCAGACTTACTGCATTTCTATAAAGACTGCAGTATTCCTAACAGGAGGTCCCATAGAGCTTGACATTTTGGTGTTGAAAAGGAGTA